TAATGTACGGAATGAAGTAAAAGAACCAAAAATGCAGGGCGAAATAGAATCAATCAGGCGAAGAACAAGCAACTTCACTTAGTAAAATATTATTGTAGATATTGAAACATGAATTGGCAAAGTTAGATTAATTTTTTATTATTTTCTAAAGACAAGTACTACATAAAGTGGTTTTAAACGCCCAGACCAACCAAATATGTCATAATATAATTAAAATTAATTAAAGTTTCTATAATTCGTGTTATTATAATAATACGTAAATAATGGGTAAAATCATTAAGTCATATCGATATCATAAATTGTAGATCTTGCATACAATACTAACAGTACTTTTTCGTGCGATTGCAAGAAGTTTATAAAAAGGACTGTTTCTCTACCTCTCTTTTATTTTGCAATCTTGTTAATTTTTAACGTTATAAAATATATAAAAAATAAAAATAAAATTATAATAATTTCACGCACCATACTAAAAAACAGTTTAAAAAATGGCCTTGGAAGTTACTGACATTTGTAAAATTATTGCGGCCATTTTCTTGCCGCCGCTTGGAGTTTTTATGGAACGTGGTTGTAACCAAGACTTGTTAATTAATATTTTGTTGACGTTGCTCGGTTACATACCCGGTATGTATAAACTAGTAAAATGCTAATTTGATAATTTGATCACAATTATACGTATTTATTCATATACATGTATTTTACTATTTCTAGGAATTATTCATGCATTATACATTATTTTGAAGTATTAAAGATACATGAAGGGAAAAGACATTAAATTGATGCTTACATTAGTGCTTACATTAAAACTGATTGAGTGTAGTTATTTATTTATTGTATATTTAGTCATAATTTAAGCATTTTAAATTGTGAATTTAATTTTTAGTCATATTATTAAAATAAATATAACATTTGTATTTGTATAAGTATTGTATATTATATTTTGAGCATAGCATATTACTATAAACATTCAATCCGAAGTTAATTTCATTAACAAATGAGTCGCGAAACTTGTAAATTTGTCAATCGATATCGATCGATCAATCGATATTATATACTTCTTGAGCAAGTATGTACGTAAAGTAAAACCAGATTTAATAGTGTCACACCAAGCCGTATCCAAAATTATATAATCCTTTACTTGTCCGAAATTATACCTATATTTTTTGACCCCTATTTAAATCTATATTTCTTGACCCTATTTAAAGCTATCGTGGCTTATATTAATGAGATGGTTTAAAAGTAAAGGATTTTCTTTTTTGAAATCTATTATCTGATCAAATTGCCAATGTCAAGGTTTATAAACATTAATAAACTTTCAAACAATGGATAATGTTCAATGGGTAAGGATTGTTATTATCGGTTAATTTTGATATGTATCGCAATTTCTCACACGTCAATTAATCAAGGTTCACGCGAAACCAAATAGTAATGGATATTCTAATGAAACAAACTATTACAAAAACACCAATGTTAATTTTAACATTAATTCGAATGGTCATTCGAAACAATTTCAACGTGGTACTTTTAACAAGAGAACACCGCGTAACAGATGGATACCAAATTATGAGAGGGAAAACGCTTTACGTCAATACTACCAACCACAACATATTGAGTTTTATCTTGCAAGCATTAACATCAATGAATATCAAGAATCTGTCGATGCTGTTAATGATTACAAGTTGAAATTTAGATACAAGTATCTTGAAGAAGGAATCTCGATTTTTTTGAACGAAAATAATGCAAAGATTTATATTCCTATTAATTCTTTGGAAGCTATCTCTAAGGTGCAATTTAATCTCATAGTATTAACATTGAAAAAGAACTGCTCCAATTTGGTGAGCGATTTATTTGAACGTGTTAAATATACGATTGCGCATACCCGCTAAATATTCTTCAATTGCAGATTTCATATGCTTCAAAGGATGGTTTCGTTGGCGATGATCCTATACGTAAAAATTTGAGTTAGTATTTATATCTCCCCTTCTGTGAATCCCCTTCTGTGAATTTAGTAATTTACCGCCGTAGCGATATATCGCACCCTATACGATTTGGTGCAACGTGAAATCAAAACTATCCCATTAGTTTAGGGTCAAGTTAAGATTAGGCTTGAGTTAGGGTAGGGCGATAGGAAATAGTTTTTAACCCAAAATTTGGAGAGGGATTTGTTTTGTTAGGATGCAAGAGATGGTTTCATAAGCAAAATCTCGCGTTACAATTGATTTTTGAAAAAAAATGTAGACGTTGTTTCGCTATGGCAGTAAATTACAAAACTTCAATACTCAATTTTCTAAATTCTATTTTACATTATTTCATAATATATACATATATATATATTATATATATATTTGTTTTGCAACTAACGATTGTGATGAATTTTAGACAGAACGTCGTCTATTAGCATGATTGCTCAGGAAAGAACACCACAACAGGCTATAGACATTGCTGGATTGCACATACATTATCTTGTGAATAAGAATAACAAATACAAGGACAATAAAACTTATATTGCAAATTGGGGTTATATGACTAGCTTACGCTTGACTCAGGTATTAAATATCCATTTTTATTTTGTTTCTTATAATTGTTTCATTTATAAATACATCAATTTGAAAAAAATTGTCAGGGTGAAGATTTTTTAATTAAGTGTCACTTAGATGATGATATCCGTATTCTACGTTTCAAATCCCACTCTCAATTCGAAGATATTAAGCACGCCATTATTGATGCCTCTAATGTCCATAATATAACAAAGATTTATTATAAAGATGATGATGGTGAACATATTACCATAGTTAACACCGCCGATTTCGAAACTGCTTTGAAATTGTATAAAAAAGACAATAAACTGGAGATTTGGTGTATGACTGGATGAGTTTTGATGTAATTTGTCGCTAAATTGGTGTGTCTTTTATCTATCAATATTTGCATGTTTTATTTAAAATAGAACCTGCCTGTATATACTTTACTGTCTAGTTAAAATTAAAACATATATATATATATATATATATATATATATAAGCTTGGAGTTATTTTGTGTTGAAATTAATTTGCAATTATCTAACAAGGTATTGGACTGAACTCTTGAGATAGTGACGATCGATATAGTAAAGAAAAGAATTTGAATTGATATAGTGAAATGCATATAGTATTCTCTCAATATAAAATTTTTCTTCTCGGTTCAACGATTCACTATAACGAAGCCAAGATTATCCTGCGATACATATGAATATAATCAGTGTTATTCATCTGCTACTAACGCTAAGGCAAATATGTTACATAGAGGTTAGCACCAATAGTTTGAAGGCTAGAAAAGAATAGCAAGAATATCATATCTTTCTTAATAAGTTCCTTTAGAACTGATACAAACTACAACTTAGCGGCTTTATTTTTAATAATTTTAAAAAATATTATCATCCCTTTTCAAAAGGGGGGTAATGTAAACCACCAAATCAAATTGATCAGAGTTTCAGTCATATGATGCACTTCACGGCCGCAGCAGAACAAATAGACAAATTTGAGTCGCATGAAAAATCTTGCACCTTTTTTGTGTTTCTTTCAGAGTACTTTATGCGACTGAACTCTTGGGGATCACCTGGTAGTGAGTTGAACCGAGAAAATTTTCCTTAATCGGTTAACCGAACTGAATTATTTTCATTCAACCGGTTGCCAACCGGTTAATA